ACGTTTAGATGTAGAACTACCGTCTTCATTTGAATCAAAGAAGAAAAAGCAAGTATGTGTTTTGTATATTTAATTATATGTAATTGTTTTCATTAAGACAATTTGTGTGCACCAACTGCTTATGCATGTGTGCCCAGGGGCATTTCAGTCATTAGACTTTTTGCTTGTATTATATGCCACTGTCCACAAAAGGTCAGCATTTATTCTTACTATGCCCTGATGGCAGTGCACGTATCCAATAAATTCGACATGCTCAGGAATCAGCAGCTTTTCTGCATGTGCAGAGACCAGCTCTCCAGAACATACGTGGTGAGCAGGATTTCATGGGCACGCTTGGATCATCTCTGCATGGCACGTGCCATAAACCCGATGTGCTCAGAAAGCCTCTTCCACGTATCCAATAGCCCGAGCCCGGTTCAAGCAACTCTTCTGACCAGGCGCATATTGCTCCAGAAGTCCTGGATACACATGAAATCCTCAAATTCTGCCTCAACAAAGCACATGGAAACCCAATCGCACCTTAGCATCCTTAAACTGGACCCGTGCCTTTGCATTTGTTTGTGCAGCCCTCGGCACATCAGGCAACCAAGGTGCCAGGGAGATACTGTCATCAAAATGATGCGTGTGAAACATCTGGGTTTTTGATATGAACATTCTAGGATAGTCTCAGTGCCCCACCACAGCGGGCCAGCCCACTCTTCTCTCTGTATCCATACATTATTTATGTTGGGCATGCATGGGAGCAAAGAGACCTAATCTTAGTGTGCTGATGCTCCACGTTAATCAGGTACAGAATGATCCTGCCTGGCAGTTATTTTAGCAGAGCTTGACACCAGGGCTAATCTGCTGTGCAGGGAGGGATGTGCGGAGAGGAGAGATAGAGAGAGAGCTCCGCTCTTCTGGCACCTGCAAAGGGCCTGCCCTTTCTTTCCTGAACTTCAGTTTGTTTTCTAAATAATATCTTATATCTGAAGACTGAAAGAGGCTACAGAAACATATCTGCTCTCTGAAGAAGGAGCAGCTCCCACAGTTTCTCATGCCAAAGCCTCCAGAAACAGGTGTTTGGAAAGAGAAGCTCAGAAACTAATCAAAAATAAGGAGGTCACGGACAAATGGAAATGCAATGCTTAGGGCACAAACCTGGAACAAACAGCACTGTGTTAGCAATGCAAAATATTTACACTATCCATCTGCAAGTGTGAGAAATGAGATAGCTAGTACGGAAGGAGCCTGAAGTCATGAGAAAGTCACTACTGCTTTGTGTACTGGCAAATCCACTAGAGTTGCAGCGAGATTACATTAAGGTGAATCCACTTATTTTATATATATATGTATATATATATATATATATATATGTTTTGTTGCTTTTTGTATGCAAAGCAATTTCATCTGGTATTGAAACCAGCCTGGGTGAATCACCACGGGGGATGGTCACTGGGCAGCACCACACTGTAGTGCAGGTGATATTAACATACAAGGTTTGTTAATCCTTTGTGGTTACAATTCGTAATCGTGTTTTAACAGGTATTAAGGAACATGACTTGAAACTGAAGCAGACAAGGAGTAAAAGTCAATTGGTAAACAAGTTTATCACTTTGGACTAAAACAAACCCTTTTGTTGTTGATAGCTCCTTTAAGGCCTCTAACACTAAATATTAAAAACATAGAATAACACTAAATGTGTAATAAAACTTTAATACTAAAATTCAATTTTTGTGCTTCGATCAAAAATGCAAGGTCTATTCAGTTCCACAGTTCCTTAGATCCACATAGCGTGCAGCTGCACGGCTCAGAGTAGATGTGCTCTGCACACGATGGGTACAGAGCTCTCCGAGCTGAGTAAATGCATCTTCCGGGGGTTTTCATCCCGCACCCAAGTTCAAAGATCACACTTGATTTTTGTCTTTATGCCTGACCTATGTGTCATGCACCAGGCTTTGCACTGATGGATCAATGAAAACCTTAGGAATCAGCACCAGGTTGAAGAGGGAGGCAATAAAAGTTTTGATCCTGTTATATAATAGTCTCTGTGCATATACATTGTTTTGTTAATAGCTCTGATTTGATTGATATTAACATCAGTGGCAAAACTCATTTTCATCACTCATTTTGCTTAATGTTCAAAATCAACCATCTTTGCCTTGGATGGATCAATGAAAACCTTAGGAATCAGCACCAGGTTGAAGAGGGAGGCAATAAAAGTTTTGATCCTGTTATATAATAGTCTCTGTGCATATACATTGTTTTGTTAATAGCTCTGATTTGATTGATATTAACATCAGTGGCAAAACTCATTTTCATCACTCATTTTGCTTAATGTTCAAAATCAACCATCTTTGCCTTGGGGGGGGGAGCACTGACATTTAACTAGTTTTAGCTTGGCCCTATTAAGTCACAATAACAAAACAAAGGCAGAAAGGCGTCTCTCCTTGCGCGGATCCCTTCGAGCCACGTCGCGCTTAACAGCTCGGCGCGGCCCGCTCCGCGCGCGCTTATCGGGCCCGCGCGCCCCGCGGCCCCCGCGCAGATAAGCGCCGCGCCCGCGATGTGCCAAGTCACGCTGCCCTCGCGCGGGCGGGCGGGTCTCGCGCGGCCTCGCGAGAACACGACGGCTATAAAAGGGCGGC